TCCAACTCTGCAACACCATGGACCACAGCACACCAGGCCTCCATGTCCATCACCAACTCCCGGAGCTTACCCAAACTCCTATCCATTGAGTCAGTGATGCCATCCAACCATCTCATCCTCTATCATCCCCTTCTCCTCCCACCTTCAATCCTTCCCAGTATCAGGGTCTTTTCAAATGAGTCAGCTCTTCGCATCAGGTGGCCAAAGTATTGGAGTTTCAGCTTCAACATCAAACCTTCCACTGAACACTGATCTCCTTTAGGATGGACTGGTTGGATCTCCTTGCAGGCCAAGGGACTCTCAAGAGTCTTCTCCAACACCACAGTTCAAAACCATCAATTCTTTGGTGCTCAGCTTTCTTTATAGTCCAACTCTCACATCCATACATGAACTGCCACAATTCCAAGAACTGGCCTCAAGAAATGGAAACAGACCCTGGAACTAAAGATTAACTGTACTTTAAACTATCAAGATGATGCTGGTCAGACCACCGATGACAACTTCAAGATGACTGTCAGAGCTGACTGTGCAGTTCCTGCATGTGGCGCCCCCCCCCCCGCCCCCCCCCCCCCCCCGCCCAGCCTATAAAAGCTCTAACCCACTGGTTTAGGCAGATGGCTTCCCTCCCTGCTACTGCCTCACCCCACTCCACGTTGCCAACATCCAACACAGGGCAAACTTTCCTTTCTACCAACCTCGCCTTTTTACTGGCTTTTGAGCAGCAAGCAACTGGACCCCATTTTTAATTAGTGTTAAGTGCCACATGAACCCTGTTTAATACATAATTTTTTTTTAAAGGGTAGTCTTGACACAGTTCCACAACCACTTAGAAGATGATGCTAAAACGTTTACCACAGTCCAATCTTAAGGGATAAGCTAAACATAAGCTGCCCAGTTGGACCTGCCCATTATTCTCCAGTGGATCACAACAAAAAAGAAAGCCTAAACATGGACTTAGTCTTCGTTGTCGCCACAAACACACTCCTATCTAAAGATCACAGGGAATTAGCCATGAAAACCATCCCACTGACTCAGGAACAACTTGGAATGAAACCTTTTAATTCAGAGGAAGGACTCTAGGATGAAAGAGTAACAGAAAAATCCCAGAAGATTCAAAGACAAACAAACAGAAAGGAATTATCTAGGTACCTTTTATTTTTTCCAAGAGCAGAAAACCTGGCCTGAAACTGACAACCTATTCCTGCATCTCTCATCACCTTTTTCTTATTATTCTCCTTTCACTTTACCCACAGTGGCATTCTTGCTTTTTTTTCCTCTTGAGATATTTACACACTGCAAATTTTACCCTTTTAAAGTATACAATTCAGTAGTTTTAACGTATTCAAAGTTGTCCAACCATCCCAGAATATTTTCATCACTCCCAAAAGAAATTCCATGCCCATCAACAGCCACTCCCAGCCCCTGGCAGCCACTAATGTAACTTTTTATCACTTTGGATTTGCCTCTTCTGGACATTTAATAATGAAATCAAACAATATGTGGCTTTTTTCATATAGCATGCTTTCAAGGTCCATCTGTGTTGAAGCATAAATCAAATTTCATTCTGTTTATAGATGAATAGTATTCCATCATTTGGATTTTGTTTATTCATTTATCAGTTTGTGGACATCTGGTTTGTTTCCACTTTGGGGCTATTATGAATACTGCTACCATGAACATTTGTGTACAAACGTCTGCATGAACATGTTTTCTATTCTCTTGGGGATATACCAAGGAGGAGAATTGGTCATGAGATACCCTGCTGTTTAACATTTTGAGGAACTGCCTGTTTTCCAAAGCAGTTGCACTATTTTCCATTCCCATCAACAATGTAATGTGGGAGCATTCTGATTTCTCCACTTCCTTACCAATACTTGTTATTTATACATCTTTTTGATCATAGCCATCCTGATGGGTGTGAAGTGGTACCTCACCGAGGTTTCAATTTGTATTCCCCCAATGACTAATAACATTGAGCATCTTTTCCTCTCCTTATTGACCATTTGTATATCGTACCTGAGGGAAAAAAAAAAAAAAGAATATTTAAATCCTTTGCCCCTTTTTCAACTGGGTTATTTGCCTTTCCAGCTTCGCTGGTGGCCCAGTGGTAAAGAATCTGCCTGCCAATGCAGGAGACACACGTTCAATCCCTGGGTCAGGAAGATCCCCTGGAGGAGGAAATGGCAACCCACTCCAGTATTCTTGCCTGGGAAATCCCATGAACAAAGGAACCTAGTGGGCTATAGTCCATGGAGTCACAAAAGAATCAGACATCATGAGTAAACAACATTTGCCTTTTTACTGAATTGTAAGAGCTCTTTCTTCTTGCTTATTTCTGAAGCTCCAGTCAAGATTCCCTCTTCAGTTGGATTTATATTTGAATTAATCCCTCTGCATCTTGAACCACTGTTCTCAGAAAGCCTAGGAACACTTTCTCTCTAGTCCTATGCACCCCCACTTGCTTTCAACATGAGTGCTGGACCCCTCTGCTTTACCCACAACAAGCTCGCCTGTGGTCACAAGAACTCATCTGCTAGCTCAGTGAACTTACAGCATCAAGAAAGAACTTGACAGATGAAAGAAAGAACTTTGACCTTGGCCACAGGTTCCAGCGGTCTCACTCTGGGCTAGGCACAGCCCTTAGGAATTCTTATGCGCTCTGAAAACGATTGACCTGCCGGCACAAGTACAATTTCACCCCCCTACGCCCTGACATCACCAACCTAAAACTCTCCTTCTCCTCTTCATAACAGTACTACCCTTCAGTTCCAGCAGTTTCAGTCGAGCCCCTCCACAGAACCTTCCTCAGCCACCACAGCTAAAATAGCTTCTCTCTACTCTGAAATAAACAGGAATCATCTGTAGAGTTCATGCACCAATTAATACACATAATTTATTGATGCCCTGATATTCTAGGGATAGACCAGGTGAAACCATCCACCCAGAGTTGGTGTTAAGCAATACTTTAGAACTGCTGGGATGTGCTGATGCAGTAAAGGAGTCCTGGAAGATGCACACATAACCTCAAAAATGCTCTGGGAAAAGTCTCATTGGATAAATAGAACCAAGTTCTCTGATGTTGACATGGTTAAGTGTAGTCCTTTTCAGAGTTTTTGATACAATGATGCACATGTTGAGAACCTCTGCAGAGGGGAAAGCCACCCAAATTGATTTGCCCTTTATAAAAACCCACCTATTAACATCCACCCAACAGTCTTTTCTTCCCAATACTCTGGTAATTGCTGAGCTAATTCAATGGCTGCTCAATTTTATCAGCTGGACAGCAGAAATCACATTTTCTACCTAGGTCAAGAACCAAACTTGTCTTAAGATGCCATTCACTGGAAGTCATTTATTAACATGCCAGCTTACTGGAAGAGAAAAAAGAAACCATACATTGAATGTGTTTATAATTTTTCAGACCCATCTGGAATTTTGAAATTGCAAAATGATGAAAAGGAAAAAGGAAAAAAACAATTGGATCTTAGAAATGAGCTAGCGTGGAAAAATCTTGAGTGTCCGTTTAAAAGCATCCTTCAGGATGGTTGAGAAGAGCCTTCCAGGAACAGACCACAGGCTCTCTGGGACCCAGTGACAACAGCCCTGGAGATCAAAAAGAAATCAAGTATCAAAATGATGGTCTCACAGCAGACTCGGACTAGGGTGCAAAGATATCAAGTGGTCATGTGCTGAGAGAAGTGAGCAACAGTGATAAGAAGCTTCCGCCACACTGAGAAGAAATCCTCCCAGCAAAAAGCAGGGGTAACACCCAAAATATAAACATCACGTTATGGAAGAGAATTTGAAAATAGAAATGTTCCCTACTAGTGTGAAGCAGAAGAAACCACTTATATTAGCAATTAGCAGATCTAAAGAATTACAGACTAAAGATTGTGTCTTTAATGAGTGCTGATTATGGTCAGGAAGACACGCATGGGCCTTGCAGTTTTATCTATTAAAACACTAAGTGGTACACTTGAGTTTTTGAATAGGTTTCTGATTTACTGATAGGTTTCTCTAGTGCTAATCTTGTTAAAACTAAAACAAAGTACAAATGGAAAGCTGAGATAAAGCCGGACAGTCAGCTGGGCCTCCATTTGGCACCTCAACATAAGAACTGGCTCAAGTGTTGACCCCCCCTCAGACACACAGTTCATTTGGGTGTTACACAAACCTTATTCCTGCCCTTGAATGTCATCTCAGGAATCTCCCTGATTCCAGCAGATTCCCGAAGCCTCTCTGACACAAAGCAGCTAAAATTCAAGGCCACAACCTAGGCCATAAGTCATGGCGAAATGTCAGCCCAGGACCATAGCATGAGGAACAAGGAGATGAATTTAACATTGGGGTGTGCCCAAGTAGTGGTTGGATTACCAGCTCAATCACACAGCGCAATACTGATACTGCACCGCTGCTCCTTAAAGCTGGCATCCCCAGTCTCGGAGAGTGAAAGGTAGTCTCCCTCAGTTACTACCAGCACCATCATCTTCCAGAAGAAATGGGAGGCCTTCACCAGATCTGACCACCACAGGACATCTGTCACCTGCCCCCAAGGCCTGGGTAAACTGTCCCTTCAGAGAAGACAGCACACATAGAAAATTCTTTTTAGTCTTGCTCATAAGTGATTCACCTGTTCTCTAATCTTCAGGTTCAAGCTGCCAGAACTTCTTGCAGCCTCCTCACCACAAATGTCTGAGATCCCCAAAGAAAGGAAATCGGGAAATTGCTGGATTTATCAATATGAAGGTCACCAACATGAGTCTATCCAAGAGTGGTCTGGAAACCAGAGGCTAAGTATTTTACAGTATGAAAAGAAGGGGTCTTTTTATGTAAATATCATTCATTTGAAGAGTGATCAGATTTACCTAAAACTGGACAATGGGAAGTGGCATAGGTATCTGAAATAGAAAATGCTTGAGGCAAGTTCCCAAAATGCCCCGAAGAAACCCTGCCTCTATAGATGACATGTTAAAATAATGGCGTTTCAGAACAAACCTCACCTCTCTTGCATGGTCCCTGGAACAGCAGCACTGGCATCATCTGCAACTAGTTAGAGATGCAAACTCTTGAGATGCCCCCTTCCCCTAACCCTGGATCCAGAGAGGCTCCAGCAATGCAGCCAGGAGCAGTGGCTTAACAAGCCCTCCAAGGAACTCGGGTGCTCCTGTTTGAGAACCGCTGCCCTAGGATGACGGAAGATGCAACATACCTGTGAGGAGGGGGTCAGGAACCTGATTAAACCCTTATTAACTGAGTGAGAGGCAGTCTCACCTGTTTTTGCCTCTGATCAGCACTAGCCCTCAATCTCATAGACTGATTTCACTGATCAGGAGTTGAGTCCTTAGTTCAAGGTCACTGTTAAGAGACCAAGTCAGAGCTCCAGCCCAGGGTCTGCTGACTCCTTCAGAATCAACCTCGGTTCTCAAACTGGGGCCCAGTTTACATGCCAGTTCTGGGGCCCAGGACTCTGATAAGGCACCCCCACCAGCCCCATCTCCTAATCTACACCATGCTGCTTCCTTCCGATAAATATGAGAACTGGAGCGTCGACTCTAAATCAAAAGGGAGATGGATTTAAGGCAAGAGAGGGGAAAAAAGAAGATAAAGAGTGATTCCAAAGACCTGAGACACCAAACCTTTTGGTGAGGAATGGGTAAGGGGAGAAGGCTTAGGTGGCTTGTCCTAATTAAAAGGATTAGTTAATTAAAAAACACTGGGTAAAGAGACCAAGCACAGGAAGACATAAATGGTGCTTTCAAGTTTTCTTAGCACTTTTTATGCCCAAGTCTTTTTATGCCCAAGTCTCGCAACAACCTGCACGGAAAGGAGTGAAGACCACTATTATCCCCATTTGACAGAAAAGAAAACTGAAGTTCACAGTGAATAACAGTCTGTCAGTCTGCACAGTAATCGGGCTGGAAACCTAAAATTTGACCTCAGATCTATCTCTAGAACCTGTGTACCAACACCAGGTGATTTCCACATTTGGCAATCTGCCCCAAAGCAGATTCCTCCACCCCCCACATCAGGAAAAAAAGCGAAGAGAAGAGCCTGTAGCAGAAATGGTGAACCCCTAAAACATGGGATTTGAACAGTGTGTGGGTTCTCCTTTAAGAACTTAACACACAAACCAACAGCCAAGGTGCTCAGCCAAGAGAGAGAGGGAAAAAAGAGGCATATTTCTAGCCTGCATAATCATTTCTGGACCAATTCCCACTAGCAGCCTTGGAGGCGAACAGCGGCTCACTGCCAGGCTGAAGCTCCTCCACCCCCCAGGTTATGACAGAGCAGCTCTGACTCGTGTGCAGGCAAAACCCCAAAACTCAAAACAAGAAGTGAAAAAAGTAAGAGCTAGGAGAAACCGTCAGCATCCTCCACATTGTACTAATCTATAGCACGGCCAGTTCCAGGGTCCTGGGGTCGCCTGGAGCGCAATCTTAGGAGATGATAGGATGAAACGGATATTCTTGGGGACCCACCACCCTTATTCCTTCCCATCAGGTCCCTGAAGAAGAATCACTGAAAGGGGAGAGGGTTCCTTGTAAAGTCCTTGGGGCTGGAGCCCAAGCCAAATACAACCAAGGCATCCTCTCCTAAGGACAGCATGTCAGCCCACGCTCTCCACCTGGCCCTCCCCTCCAGGTCCGGTACTCAGCGAAGATGAACCAGGCGGGGTTGGTGGAGTGTTCAAAAGCTAAGAAAAGGCTAGAGGAAAAATCGGGCCATCCCCCTGAGCCACGTTCCGCGCCATGTGTGTGAGGCTCCATTCAGCGCGCACCATAAGCGCTCACTGGGAACCCGGCGCCCTTGGCCACGTCTAAGGTTGAGGAGGGGGCGTCTCCCCGCCAAGGGTCTCAGGCAGAGAGCCATGCCCTCCCGAACAGCCTACCTCAGCTTTGGCAGGAATGATTTTACTAAAAGAAGCTAGCCAGGAAAGCGAAGATCTGGGTGATTCGTGGGTTTCAGTCGGGGGTGGAGGAACTTAACCCAGGAGCGCAGCGACCCCTCTCAGCTCCTCCACACTGGGGGCCTCGGGGAGGCACCCCCGGGACCATGCTACCGCGGGGACAGTGAGGAAAGAAGGGCACTCCCCTCAACTTTCTCGAAGCAAACTGCTCCGCTCTGCGGCTCGCCCAGCCCTGCCCGCACACCGGGTCCCTGGTTTGGTGGGGTTGGTGGGGGGTACGGAACCAGGGACCCGAGTTCCGCTCTGCGCGCACAAAACAGCTGCACCCCAGCACGCAGCCCCCTCTCCCGCCGCCGCCAACTTGAAAGCATCCCCCTGGGCGCCTGCCTACTCCCGCCGCCCCGCAGCGGGGTCCCTGACCTGGCCACACGCATCAGACAGCGCGCCGGGCGCTCCAAAAGCCACGGCTGCTGCAGCCGCATCCCCCCAGCCCCGGACTGGCCTCTGCCCGGCTCCCCACGCCCCGGCCCTACCTTGCAGCGCGGTCTGTGCCCAGACAGTGCCAGTGCGCCGCACGCGTCCCAGCCCGCGAGGCTCCTCCCCGGGAACTGCCCCGTACGGGGCTCCGGGCTCCGGACGAGCTCTGCCTGCTCGGGTGCTGGCTGGCCGCCGCTCGCGCCTCCCGCGCCGGCTCCTGCTGCCGCGCGCGAGGAGGGAGGGACTGGGGGGGAAACTCCCGGCAACTCCAACTCCGGGCGCTGGAGCTCCAGCTGCAGCCGCGAGCCCGCCCGCCGCCGAGAGCGAGCGCCTGCGAAGAGAGGCTGCCCCCGCGGCCGCCTCTGAGCATGCCCAGTGCGGCCGTGGGCGAACTCCAGCGCCCCGGCCCTGGGGCAGAAGGCTGAGCTGGGGGCCGGGGACCCGCCCCGAGCTCCCGAGCGCCGGGGGTGGGGCAGGGAGGGAGGGGCTGGTGCAGGGAGGGGACCCGGGAGCAAAGGGCGGGGCAGACGTGGTGTTCGGAGGCCCTTGCAAGTTTCACGGGTTTGGGGAAGTTTGTGGGTTAGAAAGGTGAGCTGCTTCCGTGAGCTCCTCTGCAAGCCTAGAAAGGACGGTGAGGAAATTTATTCTCCCGGAAAGAACAGGTGGACCCGGCAGATGGGTTTTATCCAGTGTACTCGTTCCTTCAGGTCTGGGGTCTCAAACTCAAGCTCCGGCCTGGCAGGCAGTGTCGGGGAGTGAAACGGCCGGGAGGCAGCGAGTGAACTGGAGAGAAGTCTCAAGGCAGCCACTGGGCTCCAAATTCCCTCGGGTATCCTGCAAGACTAGATTTTCTGCGTGTTTTCAAGAAATGACAGAGGTTTTTTGTTTTTTTAATGTAAAATATCCTGATTTTTCGATCTTGATAACTAATTAAGTTTTTTAAAAACACTCTGGACCAAACAAAACATATCTGAGTTCCTTCTCTGCTCAGCCCCACAGCCGGCCAATTTGAGGACTGTGATTCCTGTGTTCTTTAAGCAAAGAGCAGTTGAGTTCCCACTGTGGTTTGGGAAGACACTGAGGAACCCAGATGATTCAGATTCCCGTCAAAGTACAACCAGTTACTAAAGGAAATAGGTTTTCCAGGCAGAAGAGCGCTGTAGCTAAATGCTGAGGCATTCAAGAAGAGAAGGAAGATACTGATGTGGAAAGGGGTGTGAGTACTAACTCTTGGGAAGCACCTTAAAGTACCCAAGTGGAAAGTCACTTTGGGTCTGAAATGGTACTCTGATGAAGCATTTTGGAGTCTAGGGGAAAAAAAGAGGAAACACCAGTAACATGACCCAGTTTTATTTTAAATTTTTATATTTTTCGATTTTTGCATTCATTTTTAAAAATACTGCACTGAAATGTTTATCTTGATGATTGAGTTCTTTGATGTCTGGTGAAATTTTGCAGCCTGCCTCACCCTAGGTCAGGCCCTGCTGGGGTGTCAGTGGTAGTATCCTGGTCTGCTTGATTAGAATATAAGGAACAAGAAACACCATACAGAATGGGAAAGAGGGTCAGAGAAGTGGATAGGAGCTGAGGCAGAGGAATTGGCTGCCAATCTGTGGAAGCTGAATTCATTTTGTAGGCTGTGTGGCGCTAACAGATGCTGGGGGAAGAAAAGTGACATAATCCAAACTGAACTTTAGGAGGATGGGCTGGGCTGCAGACCCAGGAAGGTGGTTTGGAAGAGGAGAATGGGAGAAATGGGGGTACCTAGGGCATATTCAGGCTTCCCTGGTGGTTCAGTTGGTAAAGAATGTGCCTACAATGCAGAAGACCTGGGTTTAATCCCTGAGTGGGGAAGATCCCCTGGAGGAGGGCATGGCAAACCACTCCAGTATTCTTGTCTGGGGAATCTCCATGGACAGAGTAGCCTGGTGGGCTACAGGCCATGGGGTGGCAAAGAGTGGATACATCTGAGTGACTAACCATAGCACAGTGCAGGGCATATTCAGTGTTGTGGCTTTTCTTTTTTTTTTAATTAAAGGGATTTCCCTAATAAATTCACATGTTTCTGCTTATTTCTGGAGAGGCTCTTGGTAGGCTAGCTTAGTGCCAAGTAGGGCTCCTGGGTCTAAGCCTCAGCCATTTTCTACCAGGTTTCCATGGGCAAATGGCTCCACTTCTAAGCTGCAAATTCCTGGTCTGTGAAATGAAAAACAGTTCTCATAGCGTTTATGTGAGGATTTAGAGCAGTATACGCCTAAGGGCTTTGAAAGCTCTGAAAATGTAAGCAAATATAAGGCATTATTCTCATCTACACATCATCTATATGAAATCTAAATTTAAACAAGGAAGTTCTATAGCTTTACAAAAATAGTCTTAGGTAGTAAGCATCTTTGATTTAGCAAGCTCTCTGTGTATTCAGAATTCTGTTTACAGGTCTTCAGAATCTGCTTTTGGGTAATTCAATGATTTTGTGAATTAAAATGTCCCTGTACAGAAAGGAATACGTGAGGGAGATTAAGAGGTACAGACCTCTAGTTGCAAAATAAGTGAGTTACAGGTATAAAATGTACAGTATGGAATATAGTCATTAATGATGTGATATCTTACTATGATGACAGATGGTAACCAGGCTTACCATGGTGATCATTTTGAAATATATAGAAATATCAAATGACTATGTCATGTAACAGGAACCAACACAGCATTATAGATCAATTATACTTTAAAAACAGACTCAAAGAAAAAGAGATCAGATCTGTCATCACCAGAGGCTAGAGGTGGGGGGAAGGGGAATGGATGAAGGTAGTCAAAAGTAGAAACTTCCAGTTATGAGATAAATCTGTACTGAGTATATAATGTAAACCATGATAAATATAATTGACACTGCTACATGTTATATATGAAAGGTAAGTGAGCAAATCCTAAGAGATCTTATCACAAGGAATTTATGTACACAAGATGAGGGATGTTCACTAAACTTACTGTGCTAATACTTTCATGATGTATGTAAGTCAAATCATTATGCTGTACACCTTAAATGTACACAGTGCTGTATGTCAGTTCTATCTCAGTAAAACTGGAACATGATCGTGACCACCTTGTTGCCAAATTCAGACTTAAATTGAAGAAAGTAGGGAAAAACCACTGGGCCATTCAGGTATGACCTAAATCAAATCCCTTATGACTATACAGTGGAAGTGAGAAATAGATTCAAGGGATTCAATCTAATAGACAGAGTGCCTGAAGAACTATGGATGAAGGTTCATGACATTGTACAGGAGGCAGTGATCAAGATCATGCCCAAGAAAAAGAAATGCAAAAAGGCAAAATGGTTGTCTGAGGAGGCCTTACAAATAGCTGAGAAAATAGGAGAAGCTAAAGGCAAAGGGGAAAAGGAAAGATATACCCATTTGAATGCAGAGTTGCAAAGTACAGCAAGGAGAGATAAGAAAGCCTTCCTTAGTGATCAGTGCAAACAAATAGAGGAAAACAATAGAATGGGAAAGACTAGAGATCTCTTCAAGAAAATTAGAGATACCAAAGGAACATTTCATGCAAAGATGGGCCCAATAGATGACAGAAATGGTATGGACCTAACATAAGCAGAAGATATTAAGAAGAGGTGGCAAGAATACACAGAAGAACTACACAAAAAAGATCTTCATGATCCAGATAACCACGATGGTGTGATCACTCACCTAGAGCCAGACATCCTGGAATGTGAAGTCAAGTGGGCCTTAGGAAGCACCACTACGAACAAAGCTAGCAGAGGTGATGGAATTCCAGTTGAGCTATTTCAACTCCTAAAAGATGATGCTGTGAAAGTGCTGCACTCAATATGCCAGCAAATTTGGAAAACTCAGCAGTGGCCACAGGACTGGAAAAGGTCAGTTTTCATTCCAATCCCAAAGAAATGCAATGCCAAAGAATGTTCAGACTACCACACAATTGCACTCATCTCACACCCTAGCAAAGTAACGCTCAAAATCCTCCAAGCCAGGCTTCAACAGTACATGAACCATGAACTTCCAGACGTTCAAGCTAGCTTTAGAAAAGGCAGAGGAACAAGAGATCAAATTGCCAACATCTGATGGATCATCAAAAAAGCAAGAGAATTTCAAAAAAAAAACCATCTACTGCTGCCTCATTGACTATGCCAAAGCCTTTGACCGTGTAGATCACAACAAACTGTGGAAAATTCTTCAAGAGATGGGAATACCAGACTAACCTGACCTGCCTCCTGAAAAATCTGTATACAGGTCAAGAAGCAACAGTTAGAACTAGACATGGAACAACAGACTGCTTCCAAATCAGGAAAGAAGTATGTCAAGGCTGTATAATGTCACCTTGCTTATTTAACTTATATGCGGAGTACATCATGCAAAATGCTGGACTGGATGAAGCACAAGCTGGAATCAAGATTGCTGGGAGAAATAACCTCAGATATGCAGATGACACCACCCTTATGGCAGAACATGAAGAAGAACTAAAGAGCCTCTTGATGAAAGTGAAAGAGGTGAGTGAAAAAGTTGGCTTAAAAGTCAACATTCAGAAAACTAAGATCATGGTGTCTGGTCCCATTACTTCATGACAAGTAGATGGGGAAAGAATGGAAACAGTGAGAGACTTTATTTTGGGGGGCTCCAAAATCACTGCAGATGGTGACTGCAGCCCTGAAATTAAAGGACGCTTGCTCCTTGGAAGGAAAGCTATGACCAACCTAGACAGCATATTAAAAAGCAGAGACATTACTTTGCTGACAAAGGTCCATCTAGTCAAAGCTATGGTTTTTCCAGTAGTCATGTATGGATGTGAGAGTTGAACTATAAAGAAAACTTGAGTGCCGAAGAATTAATGTTTTTGAACTGCAGTGTTGCAGAAGACTTGAGAGTCCCTTGGACTGCAGGGAGATCCAACCAGTCCATCCTAAAGGAAATCAGTCCTGAATATTCATTGGAAGGACTGATGTTGAAGCTGAAACTCCAATACTTTGGCCAATACTCCCACCTGATGGGAAGAACTAACTCATTGGAGAAGACCCTAATGCCGGGAAAGATTGAAGGCGGGAGGCGAAGGGGACAATAGAGGATGAGATGGTTGGATGGCATCACTGACTCGATGGACATGAGTTTGAGTGAGCTCTGGGAGTTAGTGATGGATAGGGAAGCCTGGCGTACTATAGTCCATGGGGTCACGAAGAGTTGGACACGACTGAGTGACTGAACTGAACTGAAAACTGGAAGGGCAAAACAAAAGTCCCTGTACTAGTTTCTATTGCCACTTCCCCTCTACCACCTTCCTTTTTTTAAATCTTCCTTTTTACCTTTTGTTTTCTCAATATTGCAGATCTAACTCAAAATGGCTTTCCCACCCCCGCCCTCACCCCCACCCCACATACACGGAAGCAG